CCTTTCCCCAGGGTATGAAAAACAGTTGGAGAATGGTTGCAGGAACCATTATGGTATGGCTAGTTTACTGAAAATAAGGGCTAAGGGGGACATTATAGCAGTGTTCCCGTATTTGAGGGGCTGCCACAAAGGGGTCAAATTATTATCCAAAGCACAAGACAGCAAGACAAGAAACAATGGATGGAAACTAATCAAGGAGAGAAGCAACCTGGAATTAAGGAGAAACTTCCTAAGAGTGAGAACAATTAACCAGTGGAAGAGCTGGCCTTCGGAAGTTGTGGGTTCTTCAATACTGAAGGCTTTCAAGAAGAGAGTGGACAGACAATTGTCTGAAATGATATAGGGACTCCTGCTCAAGCAAAGGGTTGGACTGGAAGACCTCCAAGAACCCTTCCAGCTCTATTCTGATTGAAGATACATATGGCTTTGCACTGAATTGTGGTCATTCCCCAGGACTGCCTGGAATGGTGGCAAAATGGGAGTTCTTTGACTGTATCAGGGAACAACCTAACCCATCCAAGTCCTATCTGACCATAAATATCTCCTATGACTTTCTTTTTTGGTTCAGCAGAAGGCTGTCTCATACCTAAGCCAGCCAGGGAGGAAAGGAATCTGAGGAGTAAACTCTGAACTTCCCCTGAGCTGTAGATGGATATATCTCCCTTGAATAACCTTAGTCCGTATAAATAGAATCCACCAAAGACTGTTTTGGTAACTAAAACATTCCTGACCTGTTCTGCCAGCCTCCTGGCCCCCCGAGGGCAGATGTAACTATGTTTGGCCTCCTCTTTCTCAGTGAATCACTATGTGATTAAACTGGAGGAATTCTCGGGCACGTGCAGGTGCCAAGCTTGTGTTGTTAGAGGACTGCACTCGGGATTAGTTGGTATAGAAACATATTTTCAGCCCCCACCTATGCCCTGAAGAAAACCTTTCAAATACAAAAGCTGACCCACCTCAAGAAAAGGGGAGACTGGCAGTGATTCAGTTCCTAGTGATGACTGCCACTCTTGCAAAATTCCTATTTGAGAACAGGATCATCTCTGATAGAATCAGTATTGAATGACAGCCCTCCAACAAAAATCACACTAACAAATGTGATCTGTCTGAGATGCCACTACAATGGTAACTCATTTGGTTCCGGGAGGTGCAATAAGAACTTAAAAGGATGTGTGTCAAACAAATTTTTCCCATAAGGAATAATATAATGAGTCACAAGGCAGCCCACACCAACAAGTTCTAGCTTGTGTGTTGAGTACCAAACAATGAGAACCGGGCAAAATTTTTGTGTTAAAATGTGTTGAGTACCAAATTTATGAGTTTCAAAGCAGTTGATTGCTAAGGTATCACTGGAGCTGGCAAAGGATTTGAGTCCCATGTCGATGTGAAACCTGAAATTATCATAAATGGACCCCCTGAAATGTCAAAGAGCTTAAAGAGGCTACATATAGTAGCAGGGCAGGCGAAATAATTGGAAATATTAAAATTTCGGGACCTTAGGAATAAAGGATCATGTCCCATTATTTGGCTGGGTTCATACATCATGCCAAACCCTGGCTGTGCTACTTAATCACCAAGTGTCTGGGAAGTTCACACACTTAAGTCAAAACCAAACAACCAAAGTAATGGCTTAGCATAGTGTACAAACTGGGTCACTCAGTGAAATCTCTTGCTCAATACTGTCAGCTCAGCACACAATTACTGTTGCAGGGAACTCCAAAACTTCTGGGAACCATTTTTTTCCCAACCCTCCCTGGTGGTGGAAGAAATTGGCAGCTAAAGCTTCCTCCAGTAAAAGTGGTGCTCTACCAGCAAGCCATGAACACCGCCTCAAACAACTGTCCTTTGTAGTGGCTCTACTAAGATACAAGACAGAACACTGCAGACATCAAATCCCCTCTGGGAAGCAGTCTGAGTCCTCCCATGTGTCCCTATCTCCCGTTTTGTGGCAGCAGCTTGGCAATTCCTGTTGCCAGCATCTCTTTCTACAGGGACAGAGAGACAAGGTTATCCCAAACAGTACTTTAACCAATGTATACAATCAAGGTTGATAGGAGATAGGAGATGGAGCACTAGGAAGTCGCTGCATTCTAATGCTTTAAAAAAATTCCCCATATGGAACTGCAAAAGCAACTAAGATATAAAGCGAATAGGCAGCAATATAAATTCAATAAAATAAATAATAAATGTACGAACTTCAATTCAACTCCCAGAATTCCCCAGCAAAAGCATGCTGGATGGAGAATTATGGGAAGTGAAGTCTGCGCATATTAAAAGTCACCACAGTTGGGAAACACTGGTCCAAAGGACCAGGATAGAGAAATAGAGATTTGGATCTTACTGTGAAAAGAGAGCAGAGTTGAGAACGTCTACCCCGGTTTTCCTGCACATTTCAAACCTTTACAGCAAATTTAAGAAACCCAGCAAGGAAGACATTCTTACATGGAAGTTAATGCAATCTAGGTTTGTATGCAATCTACATTAAACCAGCGGATACACATACGAGGAACAAAATTAAGTGAAAATAGAATAATATTTTATTCTTTGGAATAATATGCTAAATCTCCAGCAGCAAGAGATAAATGTCACCTGCATGAAACAAGCACATATAAGCTGCGTCTACCAACATTTGTATCGATAGTGTTCTGCTTCTGAAAAGTTAGCATCCAAGTCGCTTTTGCAGATCAATGAAGTTATGGCTCCTTAAAATCTTGTTTAAATTACCCTCTTGCTGCAGAAATGTAATCAAAATCTATCTTCAGCACCTTAAGGACCAGAAGCCTGTTTTTTTTTTTAAACAAAAAACAGCAGAATATCTCATTCTGTCCAGGCATTCCTTACCCCTTTTCTTTTCTCCCTGCTGGCTGGGGAATTCTGGGAATTGAAATCCACCCATCTTCAAGTTGCCACGGTTGAGAATCACTGTTCTTGGATGGTTTGGACTACAATCCTCATTGATGTCTGATCTCAGCTTATAAGGGAGTTAAAATCAGCACCTGCTCGCAGGGTATCAGATCATTTTACCTCTGATATATCAAAAAGTGGGCTGGGGGTGGGAGGGCTAGCCCAGCAACCTAGTTTATCTGAAGGGAACAGTGGCTTCCCTTGCCTCAGCGCTTTCCCGGTTTTGTTTTCGACTATTTTAGTATTTTTTTTAGTATTTATTTGATTTGTCAATCGCTTACAAGATACAGGTATAAGAATATAGTTTTGAATACATGAGATAGATACTTATAAGAAAAAAAACAATAGGACTATTGACTGCAAACTCTTCTCCTACATTCCACAACAGTCAAATCGCAGTGACCCCACCTAACCTCGCCCGCATCCATACAAAAGGCGGCTGTTAGGGAGCCTTCCCACTCACCCCCCCCCCCCCCCCCCGCCCCAAATTCTTCCAGCCGAGGATAACGCAAAAACAAGAAGCCGCTTTCCAGAATCATCCATCAAACATCGCTGGGTTTGTTTACCGAGAGACACAAATTGCAGCGGTACCCACGTGACCCCCATTTCATTGTAGACAAATTAAAGCGATTTTGACAAGCGATTCTCTTGCGTGTCCCCCCCCCC